TCGTAGTAGGTAGATTTTCGAAAAATAGTCGTGCCCTCGAATGTTGCCGTGATGTCATGAATTTGCTGGTGCGGCAGCCACCAAAGCGTTCGGCCACGTTTAATGCTCGGTAGTCCTCGCATGGTCTTCAACTATCCCGATCCTTTATGCGAACCATGGGGAGAGGTGAGGCCCAGATACTGTGAGGAGGACGAAAAATACATGTAGCTAGTAAGCTGTTAAACTCACACTTAGCTAAAACCGATTTGTCTGGTGCAAGCTAGCAAGGATTTGCTTTGTCTTTGGGCCCGCGGATCACGATAAGTAAACCACACGATTAGTAACCGAAGACATTTCCTTGAGAGGTTTAGTTAGTTGGGAGAATTCCTCGAATAAGACGTTAAGTATGTTGTCACGCGAGTTAAAAACGCCAGTGATTCGGTACACATCAGTTGTAGTGATGAAACCCTTGGATTTAAAATTTGACGAAGTATCGATTAAATGCAGCCTACGAGAATCCAGTGGCAATTCACAGAGCTACAGAGAATCGATAATGAGTACGGCTATGGGGACATCAGACAAGGTGAATTTCCACGCACATTGTCGTTGGTCGTTCAGGTTGACCGTAAGCTGTCGTTTACCATAGGTACGAATGACGGAGCTATTCTCAGAGCGTAGTCAAAACATCGTAGCTTGAGACTTGCTGCTACGTGACGATAGGAAAGAAACTTTCGGACCTGTGTCTACTAGGTACCCTAGCGTCAGTGCGAAACTCGTGCACGGAAAATGAACGGGAAGGAGACAGGTGACAATGTAATGACCTTCACCTCAAATTCTATTATATTAAGGCTATCCACTATTTCAAAACGTTGTTGCAAGTATAATATATACAAAAGGACATTATTAAAAGCATTGCACACGATAAAAATGAGGTTTGATGAATAATAGACCCTCCGTTATTGACTACTTTCGACAAAACGTCAGCTCTCCGGTTGTAGCTTGTCGAGACGAGATTGACTAAGATCACTACTACAGACCAATTACGTTACCGTCACAGAGAAAAAAGAATGGTCCCTACAAGAGGACATATCTTCTGGAGATTTCGTGGTATCGAAAAAATACCGAATTTGTGTCAGGAAAGGGTGGCGAAATTGTGGAGAGCGGTGGAGCAAAAGTTGCAGCGATGCAGACAGAAAGTTTGAGCGTATTGATCAAAATGGCCTACTAAACACAATCACCGGTACAGTTAATTATAATAATAAATGTTTCTGTTAATTTGATCGTGTTCAATTCATAAAAGTAGAGCACTGTAGTGTTATGAGTCATTAGGTCACTGCCGAGACTTCATATTCGAGCGGGTAAAGTTCGAAGGAATTGAAGCGCTGTTCATGACGTTTGAACCTGAAACCTCAAACTGAATTCTTTTCATGCCTTTTGATGGGTTCTAATGTATTCTCGTTCTTTTAGAATTACGTAACTCAGCTAGCGTTGGACTTCAGATCCTAAAGTTTCGAGACTCTTAGGTCTCTTTCGTCCTGGGACTATTCTAGGCGAGAATTACTTAAGTAGTGTATATGGCCTGAAGCCTCTCTCACGCAGACTACTTTGCCTGTTGGGGAAGTTCCTCTACACTGATATAAAATAAGAGTGATACTAGTACCGAACCCCAAGGGATTCCAATAAAATATTATTCAGCCTTAGAAAAAGTGATCCCAACATTTGAAATTCGATTATTTCGATATGAAACTAACAAGTCTATTAAGGCCTCTTCATGCTTAAGAGTTTGAGCCCACTGGCCTTATCAAAAGCTTTTGAGAAGTCGAGATACATCACATCAACCTTCTCATTGAGACGTGAGATGGTTGTACATCTGCTCATCTCAGTCAGCAGGTTGTTTATACAGGATTGCCCCTTCTTAAAACCGTGTTGTTAAGTCAATGAGGAGTTTATGGAAAATACGTAGTCGCATAGACTTTCAGACATCGAGAAAATGTGAGAACATCACAACAAGCAGTTTTGGCACTAATGAAGCTGATTCTTTCAGAACGGTGGAGTGAACCATAACCGGGGCATAGGTGTCCTTGTCTAAATGATGTAGTTTTAATGAACAAAGCCAGAGCTTATGTTTACTCCTGAGATTTCTCTCGGAGTGTAGATCAAATTCTCAATACTTTAGGTTGTGTACAACAGTCAAAATGTTTGAAGATACTGTTCTTCCAGAATCTGCACAGCATCACTGTCGATGTTGTTTGGGCTATTAGGAACTAAATCCTTGTGGACTCAGTCCTCGGCCCATCAAAGAGGTTGCTTGATGGAAAAAGCTCTTTAGAGCTGAGTGATATTTGTCGACTGGCTAGAAATAATACCAAAACTTATCTTCCTTTAGCTCCTCCCTACAACAGATCCCCACCAGATTGAACTGTCGATATATGCGTTAGTCACTGGCTCGCCTATGTTCCAGCTAGTAGTATCCTTTAACTTTAAGCATTCGAGGAATACGATTACCAGTGACAGTGGGTTGTTGTAATTCTGAGGACCATTTGTAAGACAGACTGGTTCGTGGTATGTAAGGTTCTCTCAGGTAAGAATCCTCGGCGAGCGTTCATACCAAACTGACGGCGCTTTACATAAATCGTCCTAAATGGACTGTCCATTAGAGCTGATAATTCCACTCGCTTTCAGTTTAAACACTTACAGTTAGTATGATGTTTTAGATCAGTTCTGCTAGAGAAGTGAAACTGGTTACGACGTGATCGCTAAACCAAGATAATTCAGTTATAAGAGGTTATCATTTGGAAATTCCTCATTCATGAGATGCAGTTTAAGCTTCATGGCTCAGCTTCCGTAGGGTTATCTACTTTATTAAATATGTGGTCAGCGAAACTGACTTTAAGAAGATTGAATTATCTTAAAAATTAGGATGAGTATATTCAAAAACAGTTAAGCAAGACAGGTTGACTAAAATACCATCTAGGACGCAGTTGTCTTATTGAATATCAGCGAAAGGTTTTCTATAGATTATTCCAGCTAAACATCTGGAGGTGATAGATAATCTCATTGGAAACCATACAGATTCGTCAAGATTTACAAACGTTTTATGGCATTGACGTAAGAGATCTGAAGTTTAAACTAGGATTCTCGTCAAGAAATGACATTAGCTTTGATGTCAAAACTATATTAAATTATTTCAGTTAATAGATTTTCAACAAAATCCTGATAGCTGCTGTGCTAACATTACTTGTGTCGTTCATGAATAATAGTCGTCGCGTTTAATCATCATTTGCTGATACTTAAAATGCACGAAGAAACAAATATGTTATCATACTTGAAAACGGTGAAAACTTATCGTTCTGTTGAACGTATTCAAAATCTCTCAGTTAACATTTTAAGGTCTCTAAAATTTGAAAAAACTTAAATGTTATATAATAAAAATGGCGCATAGCGTCTCCCGTTAATAAGGGAAGCGTCATTCCATTATTAGATATTGTATCCACCTTTCAGCGGAAACAGTGATCTTGATCCAAAACAACCCCAATTGACCCAAAGATAATATCCATATGAATAGCGATTCAAATATTCAATACCCAATATTTTTTTCACGAGCTAAAAAACCGACTGAGCTATTCAGATGGTATCCTTCGAAACTCGTGGTGTTACGACGCACCATCTCACACATACTCTATTTGCCCTGATACGAATTTTCCTGTCCCCTACATGAAGTCGAGATAAAATTGGGTAAGTGAAGTCAGTCTTCTCAACTTCCGCTATTCAGAGTACGTGTGATGATATGCGAAGTGAAGGAATATTACGTGGACCGATATCTTTCTAATCCCAGTTAGTCGTTCAGCTGTCGTATTCTGTGAACAGACTGGTTGCACAGAACCCGCTTACTCTAAACTCTTGTTGGGTTCCATGTTATATGTTTTGATTTAAACACTAGCTTATTTTGTTCTTTGGTCAGTCGTTCCATTACCTTGAAAAGTATCGGCACTAATATTTCTGTACTTTAGCGAGCTGGATCTTCCTGATCCTCTTTTTTGAATTTAAGAGAGTAGCTCACTCCAGATTTCTTGAACATCAATGTGCTTTTAGTGAGAACACAAAATAGTTTGTTTTAAACATCTAACATGAGCCTAACAACACAAAATGTGGGAGGGTAGAGTTACTGACCAGCAAAAAATTGATGGTGTGGGCGATGACTTCAAACCACCCATGTTTGTGGGGCAGAACATTTTGTTTGCTTTGGCTCTTTTGATTGATGATGCGACTAATCAGTAACATTGAAGTTGCTCGAATGCGCTTGCTACTTCTGAGGTTCCTGCTGAGGTCACTATTCCGTCAAGACACCCGCAACATACTTACTCAGGCGCTTACAGTATGACTTAGAGGTTGACATTCAATAAAATAACAGTTAGAACGTGAAAACATTTTAATTTTCAATGTTTTTTTACAAACTCTACTCTTTCAACTGAAATTTCGATTTCT